CCTATTTCACGCCGTGAATACAGTCGAATACAATAATCTGTCCAGCTGTAATCCCATGTTTCACTCCATGAATACAGTCGAATACACTCGAATACAACAACTGATTAGCTGGACTTCCCTGATTCACGCCTATTTTTGCTACTGTATTCATGAATACAATAGCTTAAATACATCAAATGCATCTTATAACCACTGAAAAGGTATCTATAATCCGTAATATAGCAAATGATATCTATAGATGGCTAATTACTACTAAAATATAGTACTTTATAAAAATTTCCCATGTTTTAATACATCAAACCAAACAATGAATAAGAAATATGTCAACATAACTAATGCAAGCATAACTAATACCAGCATTACTAATATACCATATTCAACATTATTCTTATGCACCTTACCAAACGACCCCTTAGTTTCATGATTTAGTTTGTAGTTCTTCCTAACAATTTTGGACACCAAATCTAAATTACTTAGGCTAACTAAATGACTTAACGCTACACGTCAAAGCTCGTCTTTATTGAAAATCTAAAAGAAGTGCTTTCGATAAAAATAAGAGAGACTCACACGCGTAGCTCTTAACAAGTACACTTGTCTCCATGGTCAAGGTACGTGTCCTCACTAAAATAGAAATTAAGTAAGGTAACTAATGACTTAACCCTGAGATACACGTCAAAACTCGTCTTTATTTAAAATCTAAAAGAAGTGCTTTCGATAAAAATAAAAAAGACTCACACGCATAACTCTTAACAAGTACACTTGTCTGTATGGTCAAGGTACGCGTCCTCACTAAATCTAAATTAAGTAAGGTAACTAATGACTTAGCCCTGAGATACACGTCAAAACTCATCTTTATTATTGAAGAAAAGTTTTTTCGTTAGAAATAAGGAAGAACTCACACGCATAACTATTAACAAGTACACTTGTCCGCGTACTCTAGTACGTGGCCACACTAAGTGACCCGAATTAATTCATTTTCGTTTCAATCTTCGCCTTTCTTACTTCTTCAGCTGACTGCAAATCTCCAAGCATCAAACCTGGGGCCTGAGCAGACTTAGCTTCTAGATTGAGCTTCAGGTTGCCACCATCATTATGTTGTAGCTTCTCAAAACGTTGAAGGACTAAGGTTCTTACTTCTTATACTAGTTCAACAATTAGTACTCTTTTTATTTCAAACAGATCTAAGTTTATGTTATTTATTCAATTTCTTTGAAGGTTTTTGTTAACTTAAAATTGTATATCAATTTCCATAACGTACAATACCAAAATGAGAAACTTTATATTGTTAATTTAATTTGTTCCTTATTTCTTTTTGGTATTTCTTAAACAGGATATCACGGAGTAGCACAAACAAGCAAGAGAGTCACTGTCAAAATTCAACAGAAAAAGGAAAGAGTTCCTGTTTTTGTTTCCCACATGATTTGATTCTGCCTAATAATTCCAGGATTCCACCCTTTTGGAAAAGTCCCATTGTCTTTTCCTTTCCAAATTAAACTTGCACTTCAACATTACAAGATTCTATAACATCTGCTATTTTTTCAGCATTTTTTGGCATTTAAATCAGCTACTTAAAAAGTTAATAGTCCTTGCTTACACTTAACAGAATTCAACAAACAATTTTAACATATACCTATGGCCTATACTGAAGAAATTACCTCTGCACCAAATACCAAAACAGCCCACATTGCCAATGGTTGCCTTTTGGTTTTCTTCGGGTTCATGGTTTTTGTATGCCTGCTTAAATGCTGCTGCTCTAAACGGGAAGAATTTTCACCAGATTTACCAAGGCAAAGCACAGAAAAGCCTGAACAGCCATCAACTATACCAGCTGATCAACAGGATCATAGTATGGTTGTGATCATGCCTGGGAACCGAACTCCGACCTGCTTAGCAATGCCTGCCATGTCTTCACCCCATCATACTGATGAAGTGTGACTCATTTTTAGATCTTACTTTATCAGTCCCCAGCTAGAATAAAGGAGGAGGATAACAGTAGGTTGACATGTAGTGCAAAACTAGTCAAATTATNATATATATATATATCCGACCTTAACTAGCTTGGGATTGATACAGTGTTATTATTATTATTGTTCTGGTTACGACTCAAGAAGGATAAGCACGGTTTTTCTAATCTCATGCTCTTATTTTTTTTCTCTTGTAGATAATTAATAATTAGCACTAAAATCATTAGTCATATCATTTGTCTTTGATTCTCATTGCTATGTTTTTATAACCTGATCATTACTGCCTTCACATTACTGGTACATAAATAACATAATTAATGTGAAAGTAAGACGCTATTTGCGGATTCTGTTCTCCATTTCCTTTACTTTTTCAGAACGAAGTCTATACATTTTGCTTTATAAAATGAGATATTAAATTGCAGGAATTTTCTATTCCTCAACTTGTAAGCACACTGTATGGATTTAAATATACTCTCTAATGGATAAGTTCAACAAAAGTATGAATGAAAACAGTGTAACTAATTAGTACAGTATTTGATAAGACAATAGTAGTCATTAAAGGAACTAGAAAATTCTCAGGGTTAAATAATAGTAAAGAGAATATTAAAATTCTCATAGAACTATATATTAAACGGCATGAGAATATTAGGCACCATAGTTTTTCATACATAGATTCATTATTTGTTTCCAAATAATAGAATCTTTTTTTCCTTTTTAGTGATGCGCATATTTTTCCCTATAGCTATGTTAGTGAATCGGAACCTAATCCGTTAACTTCACCAGAGGCTGATAACAGAATCATTTGAGCAATATGTAACTTTCCAATAAGATATCTTCCCTTTCAATATTTCCAAAAGAAGTATTTTTAAATAATTTAAAATTGAAATTTAAATATGATTCTTCTTTTTTCTGATGACAGTTAAATCTTGCGAGATTGGAGGAATATATCAGGGGCAGAATCATATCATCCAAATAAGTGCAATATCCACAATTAGTTAGTCGTCAAGTGTGTCTATAAAAGCCTTTCATTTACTCCACCTGATTTCATGCAAAACATAAGCAAACATAACACACAAAAACAAAGGCAAGAATGAATACAACAGGAACTTCTGCTGAATATTGGCAATGGAATTCACCAGTTCCATACCTGTATTGTGGTTTTGGAATCGTTTTCGGTACCATCGCTTTTGCATTAATCTATCTCTTTTGCTGTCGCCAAAATTCCAATTCATCAGAGCATTTTATAGACACAGATAATAATGAGGAAAAGAAAAGGCATTCACTACATCCTCTAGATCCAGAGCCTAAAATTGTGGTAGTCTTTTCTGGAAATGATAAAATTTTGTATTTTGCAAAGCCTATTACTTATTCTCCACATGCTGCACAACAAGTCTAGTATAGCAGCTATTCCTCTTTTAGTTCTTTTTTTTTGGTTTTTTGGTTAAAGAATCCTGCTGGCTCGATTAGTAGGTCGACTAAGGGGTAAAACGTTTCCTACCAAGAAGTTCTCCATTGGAGCACAACATCGGGTTGTTTTTTTCTTTCTTTTTCTCCTTGTAACATGTTACTTTCTGATAATTAGCCAATGAGGTGTACAGTTATAAATGGTTTTTTTTTTTATGATATGCCAAATTTCAGTGCACTTTACAACTATGCATGTGATCAATGAATGCATTAATTAAGAGTTCAAGAAATTAGCACAAATTAAGCTGACGCTCTTGAAACAGTTTTCATCGGAAACCGCCTCTCTGCCCTTTCAGGATAGGAGTAAGGTTGCGTACATCCTACCTTTCTGATACCCCACTCGTGAGAATTCACTGAGTGTTGTTGTTGTTTGTTCATGAAACAGTTTTGATCTCTATCAGAGAAACTGTAATTCTGTGATGATAATCAGGGGTGGAGCTATAGAGTGTTGGAGCGAGTTCGGCCAAACCCAATAGCTTTGATTTGAACTATGTATTTGTCTTAAAAACCCCATTAAACATATACTATAAATTATTAATTTAGAACTCAATAACTTAAAACGATTAAAATTCCAAACCCATAAACATGAAATCCTGGCTCCGCCTTCGATGATAATTCCCTACTTCATGGTGGTCGAACCTAAAACCAAGATAATAAAATACAACTATGATAAAGTATATATCAACAACAACTACCCAGTAAAATCTTACAAAATGGGGTCTGGGGAGGGTAACGTGTACACAGACCCTACCCCTACCCCGATAGGGCAGAGAGGCTGTTTCCGATAGACTCGAATGATAAAGGATATATCAAAAGAGTAAATTAGAGAACTAAATAAATTTTCTAATGTGAACGACAAAGATTTGTCATATCTAAGTTTGACTTGAATACATACAAAGAATTATCTTATTATTCGAAATTATACTCTGGCACTCAACACAACATTTAAATGCAAAGGCAAAAAGAAGGGAGAAGTGTCTAATTAGATTGGATCTTTCCAGCCTTGGGAAATTTGTCCTATTATCAAAAAGAATTTAGAAAAGAACATCTTCACTTCATCACATGGAGCCCAAGACAAGTGCAATACAAGGATATGATCTCCCAAAAGGACAAACAGCAAGAATAATACATGGACCTTGCCTGTCTAGCATTTCCTTATAATAAGCCATGCCTTAGGATTACAAAGTGAGGAACAACTAAAAAGTCATTTAAAAGCAAGGCATGTCCCATATATCTTCAATTGGTTAAAACTCTTCTGCTCCTTCCCTTAAAATCTAGGAAAAATGACCCCCACCAATAAGCCTAGAATTCTAACATGAATGCTTACAAAACTGTCATAACTAGTAACTATCTTAAATTCTGGATCTAACTATATTCTATATCATAATTTGACAATGACAGTACTATTATTAGTATATAGTAGTTGTATGACAAAATGGAAAGTAAAAGGTTTTTAGCTTCACAATTACTAATCATGAGTGAAAGATGGTAGGACCATAGGTTGTAGTGGGATGAATAGGAATCTTCCATTCTTAAATAATCGGATTATATTGGCACCTTACGAATGGAGAAACTGTTGTACATGGGATAAGGATAATAATTCCGGGATAGAATTTGAGATTAACTTTATTTTATTTTTGATTTGGGGTATTAGTTAATCCTGAGACAACTTTTACTCTAAGGGCTCGTTTGGTGTGAGGAATAAGGGATAATTAATCCCGGGATTAAATTTGAGATGAGTTTATCCCACATTTGGTTGAAATAAAATTGCGGTATAACTAATCTCGGTATTAGTTATCTCAAAATTATAGTATTATTTTTATCCCTATATATGAAAGGGTGGGATAACTAATCCTGGGATAACTTATTTCCAAGTGATAGATTAATTATCTCATATAAAAGGCGGGATAACTAATCCCGTGTGATATCTCACCCCATGGGATATCCCACCATTGTACCAAACGACCCTTTAGTATGCCCTACACGATGTGAATCTGGATTAGTCCGGCTATTAAATTTCGAATACCAAATGTTTAAAAGGTTGTAGGGGAACAATGGGTATATCTCGTATACTTATATATATACTATCCAGAAAAACAGGGGGAAAAAGCAATAATAAAAGATGAACTTAACTGCTTGAGAAGACTACTACTACAAGACAACTCCAGTTGGCTTACCTTCATTTTTTCACAGAAGAAAAAGCTGCATAATTTATTTACTCCCAACCTCTTGTTTTTATTTGACATGACACAGAAATCAAGTAGTGGAAAATAAATGAGAGAGGTCCTTTTCTAGCTAGCCTCATTAAGAACAAAAAGTAGTAAGCAGTAGTAGTATATATTTTTAAGAGTATATAGCATATAGGCTGTGCACAACTTCTCTTCTGCATATTGCATTCAAAGCGCGCAGCTGAGGCACGTTCAGAATACAGAGAGAAGTAAAGATATGCATTTTCGAACCTAAGTGATAGAGCAAACCAAATACTGTCCTTTGGTATTTACTCAAGGGTCGTATTTTGTGCCTTTTGTAAAAAAAATCAAGTTTCTCTATCATCTTTGACAGCTTCTACCTGTCCCTCTGTCAATGTAAAGTTATGGCGATGTACATATCCAGGTGGTGAAATTTAATCCAAGATTTTCAAAACAAATAAAGGAGAATATAGAGAAATAAATATCGGGTTTTGGGGTTGCTTTCAGAAGTACTATAAGTTTGGGCATATTTGTTCTTTGTGCGTGAGAGAGCTGTATTGGTCCAGAGCAGAAAAGAAACGCATATAGGTGTTTTGATTCAGCTTTCTTTTGCCTATTAACATATAACCAAACTCCACTTTTCTGTCTTTTACATCATTTCAATATTAATTCTGCTCTTTTAGAGTGGCGTATAATGAAGCCAGCTTCTCAAACTTTTAATGAGGAGGAAGAATGTCACAGCAGTGAATCTGGCTGGACAATGTACATTGGATCTCCTTCGAATGGTACTGAAGATGATAAGCTGAACGTAGTGGATTTTGTGGAAGAAGATGATGTAAGAGATCAAAAGAATGAAAGAAATCAAGAAGAAGAAGATGATGACACTGATGATTCTATGGCGTCTGATGCCTCTTCTGGTCCAAGTCATATCTTTGTTAGAAATGCAAAGATTACTACTGGTGCTCGTTATGTGAATCCAAAGGAAAAGGGTAATAATGGAAAAGGTTGCTCTAACAACAAAGCCAACACAAAGAATGGTATTAAGAATCAAGACAAGGGAGAGTCTGTGTTTTCTGCAAAAGGAGCTAAAGTTCCCTCCAATGGTGGAAAGGTAAGGAAAAGTATTTGGAAGGGCAAAGGAAAATAATACTGTAAAAATTACTAGCGTACTATATTTCCTCTCTTGTTATGTTACTACTATTAATTTATATCTCTTGTGTTAGTAATTATTAGTGCATGTTAAACTTTGACTAAGGATGTTTTGCGATTAGAAATGAATCAATTTTTTGTTCGAGACAAAAAATGAATGTAAGAGGGTCTCAATTTGATACATCAAATGTAAGAGGGTCCATTATCAAGACATGTATTCAGTTATATAGCAGCTTCATAAATCTCCTAATACGTGTCATGCCTAAGTACTAACAAAAAAAATGTCATGTCTAAGTACTAACAAAAAAAACATGTGACTAGTATTTTTTGGTTCATGCACTATTTGATACCTTTCTTTAATTTGGAGTCCCGACTAATTCGGATTCGCTTTCGTTCCTAAGGCTCGAATTCGAGACATCTTCATGCCTAATACTTAATTAAAACTAATCAATGCCAAGAAAATGAAGCATCAATATTTAGACACGTACGGTAATGTTTCTTATATGGTACACCGTTATTTGATCAACTAGAATTATTATGCTTTATTGGGACAAGTTCACCTAGGCAGTAAGGGACCAGTAACTAATAAGGCAACCACCTGCATAATAACTTGTACATTCTTCAATAATTCTCCCAAAGTATATCCGCTGATCTCTATAAAACATGTTCTGAACAATTATCTTTATGTCATAAGTTTAATGGTATATGCACGTACCACAAATAAGACTAAAGTATAAACATTAACAATGCCTCTAATTGCTTTATTGGAGAGGTTGCATCGGTTGCTGAACTGCTCAAACAAAGGAAACTGCTAAAAATAATACTTTGTCAGAATTTTCATCACATAACTTAAGTGATGAATAAAGTATATATATATCAAAAATTTTAATCAGTCCAACAGACACAAGATCCGCGAAAGGTCTTCCTTAATAAACTAAAGTATATGGGAGTACATGAAATTCTAGTCACTGGCGCATGCAAAATAAAGAGCAGCAAGTCAATGAAATATATAGCCACATGGCTACATATATACTGTAGTATATTATTCTTATTTAGTTGGCAGAAAAAGCATTATATAATCCTCTCTATACACAAAGTATATGTGAAACATGAATATAGGAGTGGTTCAGAGTACACGTCATGTACCGTGGCGAAACCAGAAATTTTTTCAATGGTGTTCAAACTTGAAATAAGTAAAAAAAATTCCGACAAAGGGTGTTCAATATATATATTATATACCTCTAAATTAAAACCTAATATTTTATCTAGTGTAATTTTTCGACAACAGGACCATTCTTACAGGAGTGTAGCTTCGTTTATAGCAAGTTTGAGGTGTATTAGGTTGTTTTTTATAGATCAATTGCTTTTAACTCGAAAGAAAAAGTATATATACAAATTATATATATATATATTTATATAATAAGATTACATTCATTCTGAAGACTTCCGAGAAAAATATTAAAGGGAGAAGGTGTTGGGAAGTTGAGAGAGTGAGACGGTGAGTGCAGGAATACACATGGGGATTTTTAGCAGGTACAACAAATTAACGTCGTCCCGCATGCGTCTGATTTGAAATGTAAAAATTAAATGTAAAGAGCTTTTCAATTGAACGTTACATTTCAAACGATTCCCAACGGAGCCCCCCAACCTGTCAACAGACTGGATAACGTGTGTGTCATTTGTGTACGTGGCCAAAGGAAGAAACAATTAACGTACTCACTTCTTTGTTTTTCCAAACATGATGTTTCTGTTGGCTTTCGCTCTCTTTTTTTATTTTTGGTTTCCCACTCGCTATTCGGTATTTGCATTGGAGCCCAATTATATTTGAATTCGCGTCGCATACGGCCCCATTCGGGAAGCGCTCCCTACAAAGAATTTTTCTATACTCAGGGTTCGAACCCGAAATGTCTGATTAAGGGAGGAGCAGTGTCATCCACTGCACCATATCACGTGGCTTTCGCTCTCTAGCTTTCTATTTGGTAGTTTATACGTACATTGTATGTAGCTGTTTCTTTTACAAAAATTTATTATTATCCTCTTTTTAGACGGTTTTTATAAATAAAATTGCCAAAGGAACCATCCTATACTCTTCCAAACGCATAATAATACGTGTCACGATGACAAGAAGTTAAGCTGGCAATATACTTCCCCTCACATGTTATAAGAGTCCGTAGTTTTAAATCATGCAAAAAAAAAGTAAAAACTTAATACTAATACAATATTTAAAAAAATACAAGTTTTATGCAACGATAATGTCTACCATTAGGTTTAGTTGGGGTCAGGGGCGGATTTAGAGGGGCGGAAGGGATTCATGCGAACCCCCTTCATCGAAAAATTACATTGTATATATAAGACAAAATCTGTTTGTTATCTCTATATATTATGTTTTGAATTCTCTTGTACAACCCAAAATCATCGCTTAGTGGTCAAGGAGTTTCAAAAATTTTGTAAGGTTATTAGTTCAATTCCCACTAGTTACAATATTTTTTAACTTTTATTTTTTTGAATTTCTTTAATGGAAATCTTGGCTCCGCCACTGGTTGGGGTTGGTGACTTTTTATAGCAAGCATGACAATAACCTATAAAATAGAGTAATACTTATTATGCTATGATTAGTTAAATAGTATTGGAATTGTAAAAAATATTATTACTCTCAACTATTTATGTGTCACATTATTAATGAACTCAAAATCCTCCTTCCCACTCACATTTTATAAGCATGGCGGCTTGACCATATATGTTGCACCTACAGTCGGCCTTGAAAGACGATTGACCTTTTAAAATTCACAATATAGGAAAAACTATACATGTTTCTCAAAGATATATACCAACTATAGTCAACTACCAATGGACAATGCAACTCTTGATGAAGAAAAAAAGACAAAAGGTTATTAAGGTTAAATCAACAACAACAATCCAGTAGAATCCCACTAGTGAGGTTTGGGGAGAATAGAGTGTGTGCAGACCTTACCCTTATCCCGGAGGGATAAAAAGGATATTTCCGAGAAACCCTCGACTCAGAGACAAAAGATCCGTAACAACAACAAAAGCCAGAAATTTAAGGTTAAATCAACGTGGAAAGGAAAGGGGCAAAAAATGAAGTCACTGCTAATTAAGCCGCGTGTATTATATATCGAGAATTGTAGTAAGTTAATTTGATCTAGTTAGGTTGTTGTTTGACCAAAAAGTATTAAGCCTTTTAGTTAAACTAATTAGATGAGAAGATAGAGGGTAAATCCTAGTTAAACATAATAAATCCTAGATCTGAAATTGGTTGATACAAATAATGTATAATTGCATTTTAACCAATTTAATGCATAGGGGGTGTTAAATGGTACTGTTATGAGTGTGTGGGAGAATAATGATAAGCCATAAATATATTAACTAGCAATAAATGTAAATAGAGGGAATTATTCACCCAAATATTGAGTGAGGTGGATGATTCTACCTCTGACAATGATGTAAGGTAAACAAACCCGGGAATATAGGAAGCTTTCTCGGATCTAATGCGAGACAGTGGGATGAATCAACAAATCGAATCTTTATGTAAAGACAATATTTGTAATTTACTTGAGAGTCAACTTTTCATGAGAAAATTTATCTTATAGAATATTATATTTCTTTTGCCTTCTTTCTCCTACTATTTATGTGGGATATTCCCAAAAACCCTAAAAAAGTACAATAGAAGGAAATATTCAATGGAATATTCTTATTGAAAGTTCCAAAGCTATACTAGTTGTTACTTCTTTTCCTACCGTTCAACCTCGGTTATAATGGCTTACTCAACGACTCATTATTGTCAACCCCTGGTCGACCTCGACCTATTCGCTCATGATGAGCCACGGTTCTCACACTTGATCACTTCTTGATGCCGAATTTTCTTTAGTCGGATTTTGACACATACATTTGCTACTTTGTAAAATAGTCGTAGTATTATTTAGACGTAATTGTTTGAAATTGAGGCGTAATCGGAAGTGATAGTATTATTATTTAGAGTTAGAAACGACAAAGAGCAGAATATCTGCTAAAAAAAATAAGAAGGTGCAGTAACAATCAGACCAGCGTAGAAGAGGACCTGCACCATATGCAGTCAGCAGCGAAACTCAATTAATTATAAATGCCAGAAGAACCTGGAAAGGAGCAGTGACTGCAACACTCCATGTCATGGGACAGATCTTAATTGTTCATTCACTCACAACTCAACAGTATTATTGGACAAAAACTAGGAAAGGGCCGCCGATCGAGTACTTTCCTACTTGCCTTGCATGTGAGCTTACTTTGTTCATATATCATTATGCTGGATGTTGGCCGGCTCTTTGACGAGAGATGGATCTAGAATTTAAATTTGACGGTTTCATCCTTTAAGTTCATGCTGTTGAACTGATTTTTGAAATTATGAATTTAAAATTTAATATTTTTTAAAAAATTATGATTTTTTACATGTATATCTATATTTCATATTAAAAATATTCGGTTCAGTTGAATCTGTTAATTATATGGTGCATTCGCCACCGGCTATTTATAGTCTTTTTCCTAGTCTCTTTTCTCATCACATTATTATTCATTGGCTCAGAGTTAGTGGATAGTGGGGGAGAGTGGCACTGGGGTTGGCAGGGGACACAGATTGTGAAACCCCGTTTGGGCATTATGAGCTATTGGAATCCATGTTCCCTGTTGAGAATGACTTCACCTATTTGTGTCACAACATCCCTTGTGTCTACTGTACCCACCTCGGACCCGTTCCAACGGTTCATGGTTCTTCTTGGCAACGATTTGGAAGTTAGCACTCATTAATTATCAATATCTTTCAAACCTTAATTTGTTATTCATCTTGCTTTCATTTTATTAATTTTCTCTAGTTTTTTTTTTTCATGGACCACTAATTGTGAGTGTATTATCTTGAGTGTGATTGTATATCATTAATTTCCTCTAAAGCTCAATTATTCTTGTAAGACCCTTTGAAATAGGAAAGTGTAATGTGTTAGAATAAAATCACAAAAAAAAAAAAAAAAACTCAAAATAAAATAAAACAATAGAACGAAGCTTAAGGCATATGAATAATTTAATGGCACGTTAGGGGAAATTAACTTGGGTTGCGGCTCAAATCTTATATGCGCGAGCCTAATTCTTTTTACTTGTTTTTTACAACCCAAT